GTGTGTGTGTGTGTGTGTCGTCGTCGTCGTCGTTGTCGTGTCGTCGTCGTCTCGTAGTGTCGTGTGTGTGTGTGTGTGTGTGTGTGTGTGTGTGTGTGTGTGTGTGTGTGTGTGTGTGTGTGTGTGTGTGTCTGTATATATATATATATATATATATATATATATCAGAAGCATTATCCTACAATTACATTGAAGCTGATCAGTGCCTTCAGCATACATGTCTTTCAAACAGTTTTCTCGTGCCAGAAAACTTCTTAGTCATACACTTATCAAATGGCCCTCTTCTATACAGCATCTCTAACAAGTAGGTGAAACGTAGAATTGTGTATTCCCTAACCTCTGCCTGTAGATCAGACCTTCCTGTGTCCGTTAGTTTTCGTATATGGTCCTCACATCTGTACTACCGCGCACATGTACAAGTTATCGCTTGTTTAGTTAAGCTTATCGGCACCCGATTCGCCGCTGGCAATCACTGTGAGGCTCGGACGCTCACTATTCCGCTCCTCTGTCCATTCATGTCCGCCCTTAAATTATAGTCACATACCTCCGAGTGTCAAGCCAGGGCCGAGCGTCACGCGAAGTTCGGTATGTAAAAACCGCATCGATGGTGTCTCCGTTGGTCGTTAGGGTATCTAGCTTGCACGCACTACCTCCGCCATTTGGTAGCCAGCGATTGGTCGGTGTGTCTGCTACGCATACGTGTGTGATCTATTCCTGATTTCAAGACAACAGCCTGATTCCCAACTCCGCGACTGCAAATGTGTCGTGTTCTGACCCTCTTTATGTGCTGCAACAGAAGCCCAAAGGCTTTGCAGGACCCCCGGGCACGGCGAAAGATGTAGAAGACGTATCAGCGGAGGATATGAAGCGTGTCAACAAGTTGTGCCGCTTCTGTATGAGTGCCTTAATGGTGTGTAACACTCACACTTGTTCATGCGGAAAGTTATACGAGTTAAGACTTGAAAGTGTATTTACATCTCTCGCTCTTGCGCGAGTACCTGCTGATATGTTTCAATTCTGATGGGTGCTTTGTAAACTGAACAAAATCTCACGTGCGGTTACTATGCGGTATTTTATTCTGAACGTACGATAACTACACTCTCAATCACACAGTATGACGATGTTGAGACTGCCGTTTCCAATCTTCAAGAGGCGTTGGCGCTGCTGACCGAGTGATGCCTTTCAAATGAAGTGGTCGACAAAAATAGATTTCTAAAGACTAATAAAACACAACAGTCTTCTTCATACCAATAGGTTTCTTTTATTTATCTGTGAATCGCCTCTGTACGTATCATGCAGTTCCCCGGTGCGACCTTTTGTTTATGTATATATGCATAACCCTTCTGATACTACCTAGATTCCTCGTCAGTCCTTCTTTATTTGCCTTCATATACTATTTGACCTCTTGTATGAACGATCTAGTACACGTTTTTATGTCTAAGCTGCCCACAACACAATACCAATCCCTTCGCAAATATGCCCAGGAACAAAATCGTACTGCCAATTTGCTAAATACTAAAATTTATTGAATATTTATATTGCTTCGAACTGTTTTAAAAACGACACCATTATCTCTATGAAATGTATCGTCCTCCTCGCATGAATTTAGGGACAGGCATCTAAATTTGAGAATACTGGCAGTACGGTTGTATGCGGTGTAGAAGAGAATGTAGTCAGTACAAAGATTTGAAATTCATACAGTCCTATTGTATACAATTGGAAAATGATTTACTGAATAGATCTGAACTATGTAGGCAAAAGTCTCCGTCTAAAATTCCTGATCTTTAGCTCACTACCGAGGGCTGAAGCTAAACATAGTCATTTTTATAATCTATCGTATTTCCTTTATTCGTAACGTTCAGTACGAATTAGTCAGCCTGGTTATGTCAATTTCACACTGAATTCAATCACGTGAGAGTCTTCGATGGGGACGCCTAGTCCAAGGTTAGAGCGTCCTTGGTCGATGGTATGCGTGACCGGGGTTGCACCCTCTATACATGCGCGTGTCGTGAGCGCACAACTAGATGTATTATGTATTGTGTTTCATCTTTCTATAAATACTTGTACAGACATAGTCCACTCAGATAGTCAATTGGCATGTGGATAAGAATACTCCGAGACACATGAGTTCGACAAACAAGAAGTTTGACATAGTATAGATAGCTGAGCGTCTCATGGTTTTTTATTATGGCCTGATACTACATTGCATACCGAAGAAAGCGGAAGACAACCTACATTACTACGGCGCTGAGCTTCGCTATAGGCGAGTGCTGGTCGTGGGTGACAAGTATATATATATACTTAGATTGCAGGTGAGTGACCTTTACCCTCTTACTCAGTGGTGAGAAGCTACTGAGGATACGGCACATTAAGCCTTGTGTGAGCACTTAAGAGTCCGCGAGCAGCCGCAGCCTCGAGCGTGTTGCATGGCATCCAGTCAACAGATTCGCCCTGAGAGGTGTTGAGCTGGTGTAGAATTATTACCTATAGGCGGAAAGTGTAAAAGCGTTGTGACAGGATCAGAAAAAGCGTGCCTAACTCGAGTATACTCACAAGTTCATCACGACGCACTCCAGTACAGAACAAGATATCGTATTTCGAGGCACGTACTCAAGACAAGTCATATCATTACACTAGTTATAACTAGACGTCAGGTCGATTATGATCGGGACTTCTGTTGAGTTCCAGGGATGCGATGTCGGCCCTGCGATACTGGGACGCAACAAACAACAATGCGGAGATAGAAACACGTACTTTCGTATAATACAGACCGGATACAAATGGCTCAAGCACTCATATACGAATATAATCGATATGTTTGCTCATTGTCCCGTGGCAAATTATCTTTCAGTACATATCGACTACAAAAACTACAAAATACATACAAAGATTCACGTCTCTTACACAAGGCCGGACGATATCGACAAAGACATTAGCGAGAAAAAAAATATCTTGCCATCTTATACGTGTGTCTCATGCATCGTACTAGGGTCAATAGTTATAACATACATGATGATACATACACACGCACACTGAGAAGATATCGGGCATATATAATATAGGTCCGCAATACAGGCACTGTAGATTTACAAAAACACAACTATTACATTATTACCTCGTAGGGGATGAGCTTAGCTCGGTAGGCTTAAAGTTTGTCGCAAACTATCTTAGGTCGTAAACCTTTATTCTGACATCACAACAACCCCCAGGGAAGCATAAAATCTAGGTTTTACTTTTTAGTTATTATCCGTGTAGGTTCAAATGAGAGCCGTCTATTCTCGCTCTCTAGTTTCTACTTCGTGCCTAGCCGAGTTCATTATATTGGCGAGAGCCCCATTTGGTTGCAGGCGTCTACGCGTGTGCCCTTTAAAGGTATCTATCCTGCACGAAGGGTTGTGTCGAACCTCTTTATGCAGAGTCGGGGTTGTCACAGGCTATTTGTTTTTCCGCGATTGTAGTTGATCGTTCACATTTGTGTTCATATCCGTAAGTGCATCTTGCAGCTTGCACCATTTTGAAGCGGCTGGCTTCTTTTAAGTCTGACTCCGATATGAATTGTGCAATCAATTTGTTTATCTTTTTCTCATCATGGCTGCCTCCACGATAAATATAATATGTTCGCCAATAATCCTTCTACCTCGTTGACCATTTAAGCACTATTCGTCGCATATTCTTTCGTTCGCTTATTGTCATTCCTTGTAGAGGATGGATGGAGTTTACTATAGTTATACGCAAAAAAAAGTATAGAATGCGAACACTTCATACAGTACTCATTTTAAAATCTTTGAGAAATCTCTACTTTTAACATCCGCATCATGTGTTTCAGTTGTTGTTTATATAAACGACACCTCCTTGTAATCTACCATTTCTAAAATATGAAAACGAGAAATTCGCCCCTGATATACCATATGAAGAGTCGTTTTTAAATAATATTAATAATAAGTGTCTTAATTTGGATTGTTGTAAATAAGTGGTTAATTTACTCTCAGACACTCCGAATTTATCCTTAATGTCTGATACTTTAAAGCAAACAGTATTCAAAAGCCAGTATTTTCATTCAGTTTTTCACCATGGGAATAGCACTCGGTCAAAAACTCAATAGTAAGGGAGTTTAAAAGTTTAAATTCTTTTTAAATTGTATGTCCCATTTTTTTTTGTCTTTATTGTATCAATTTCAATTTTTCAAATAGCAATTAAAAATAGTTGAAATTTTAGAATACCGACTTAATCGAACTGGTCCGGGTTTTCATAATCGGGTACCCCATATCAATATTTGCATTTTAACACTTGCTTTTTATTTCTACTATCATAATAGAGCTGTCCCCTTTTACCCGTATATCTGACCAGGTTATTTTTTCTTTATTTAGTTTGTCTTCATTCTCGGAACATCTACGGATACTTAGACCAGGTTTTCCACTCACCTTCATTTTTTAATAAAAGTTCTTAATTTCTTGGTTTAAATAAATATTTTAAATTGATTTTAAATTTTTCTTATCTCCTTTGCAATACTCCCACACTTTCGTTCTAATATCAAAGGCGAGAGTATATATATCTTTACTAATCTGTGGCCGGTAAGGTTCCGGTTGAAAAAACCCCCCCCGGCCATATACTTAAACGTGTCGGTCGCCAGTTGAAACTCGTCCAATTTAATGGATATAAATTCAACATTGGTTCCGGCGCCTCTGTAACCCATATAATCCAAATCGTTTTCAATCCGTATAACATCCCTCGGGGTTGAAGTGGTGCTGTTTAGGTTGCTCTCCATTATTTGAAATAAATTATTTATACCTATTTGTCCATTCCACCGGTAAGTAAAAATGAGGCACTTCAACACGATACTGAGTCAAACATATCCGGTTTGTAGAAGATAGGTCAATAAGTGTGATATAAATATTAGTCCCTATATCCCGTTATGGACAAAAAGTTTCTTCTTGATCATTTCGCGGTATTGTTGCCTCTTGAATACTCCTTTACCTTCCCACATTTGAACAGGGCGATAATGTTGTTCCCCCTGATATTCAAAGGTGATTTCCAAATCCGGATTATACCCTTCGAGTCAAGGGGGTGATTTGTCTCGGGGTTTCTCAGAAAATCATAGCTACCACTTAGAAATGGTTTTTGAAAATTGTCCTCGAATATAGTACGACAAAAAAAATCCGATTATGAATTGTTGAATATCTCGGACAACCACTTCCAGATTGAAATTTTTCTAATGATTTTCCATTTTGTGTCCCTTATTGCAACTCATATTCATCGTTGTTTTTAATTTCCGTATTCAGTTGTATTCAATACCTATCCTCGTTCCTCTACCTTTCCTCGGACCAATTTAATAGTGCGATTTTTATTTCCCGAACATTCAGCACAACCAATTTCATCCTGAAAATGAAAATATTTCATAGTCAAAAAGATGCCAAAGATTTCAACACCTGGTCCGGATTTAAATACAATTTATTAGACAAAATGAAATCAAAAGGAACTTGTCGAGCCGTTTCTTCTGCTGACTTACCATTTATGCGACTACTCTAATGAAAGATTCAACTATGTGGTGACACTCTTGCGTTTGGGAATTGCAAACCCTGACCGTAAATGGTGGATAACGCCGTTGTTTCTTTCTCGCACGGGCTAGGTATCTTTGTGCGATCTATATGGGGAATGATGAACCCGAGGCATGCAAGCCAGACGTCCGATTTGGAACAATTACAGGGGCCTTCAACAGTTTCATAGACAGCAAAGCTTTTGTATTGCTTAACAATACTACTGATTTTACATCGGAATAAAGGAAACTGTTGGGAAAAGTTAAGAGTGGGTATGATTACATATTATCACCAGACGATAAATCAGAAATTTGTGGCCCAGAAGTCGACCTACTGTTCTACTATTTTATGTTATTAAGTAATGATGACACCCCTGTCAAAGTGAGGCAAAAGCTATAAACGTAAACGAATAATTACTTGCTGAGCGTTCAACTCGTTGACTCCTGCTTTGGCCGCGATAGCTCCCAGGATACACAATACGTATCGCAGTACATTTAGATGGAGCTCATGCATAACCATGGGTAACTGCTGAAAAGTCTCATCGTCACCGAGAATTCTGCGGTATATCATAGAGAAATTAAATCATACATATTGCATGAGCAGATGCTATCGCATCCAACGATGTGCGTAAACAGCCTTCAT